CGCTAGTTAAAAAAATACTAAAACTACTTAGACTTCCTACTAAGACAAGTGTTTATTTTTCTCCCCATTTTAAGTTGGTAGTATACCCTACAAGAAACCAAGAGACTAGGCTAGACTAGACCAATTTTGGTTGGGATTTTAAGATGAAGAGAAAGTACTAAGATTGGCTTTTGTACCGACGTACCGAAAGCAGGTACATGAAATAAGGAGACTACTTGTAACAATCTTGCTCTGCGTCTGAATAATACAAGTCTATGTACATACCAAGCTTCGTATTCCTAGCTATTATGGTTCGACAGTTTTGGGTGTTCATACAGACGGACATATCATTCGTCTCGCCAGAGTCTGCCGCGCCTCCTTCCTTCTATTACAAACGAGACTTTCTAGGTTAGTGCTGCGGTACCTCCAAATTTTCAAGAGTATACAGTTATCGATGCACAGCACATATGCTTTTTTATTATATTTGCCCTGTTGTGCAAATCCGACCGATTTTCATTGTGAAGCCAAAGCAGGCAGCACAGCCATCATCTGATAATGTCTGTCGTGGATTTGCAGAGTGCCGAGGCACGCTTGTGCGCCCTCCCTACCTCCACTGTTTTGTGTGGTGGGTTTTGCGCATGCGTGGCGTCAAGAAACTCCTTTTTTGCCAATTTGGCACTCGGATTGCCACACACCGCACACAATAAAGTTTTATATTTGCTTGGCTTTAGTTGCTGGCTGCTTTGGCGGCCAGTTGTGTGAAATTTCGAACGCAATTTGCGTATTTCCTGCACTAATTTGGTTAGACAATGGAACCGTTACTCTGCTGAAGACTGCCCATGACTGCTGCTGGTGAGGAAGAACATTTTTCCGGAAAAAATCAAAAGCGTTTTTGAGGGAAATCCCTGAAGCGTAAACCACTTTAAGTCAAAGACTCTGACCTCATTAACTGTGCAACGAACGACAGCGAAGCGTAGTCAGTGGGAAGAAGATGATGGCGTCAACCAGAACCCTTTCTTCTCGACACCAATTGGTTAATGCCGCGATTAAGAACTTAGCTGCAACCGCAAGAGACACAACGAGCAAAAACATCATCAACGAGAACAATAAAATTACAATAATCGCTTTGGCAACGCTCTTTGGACTTATTACTCGTACACTCTCCAGATTATAGATTCGAGTGCGGTTGTCGTTATGCGGTGGCGGTGGCGATGGAGGTGGCGATGGCGGTGGCATGTTCAAGCGAGCGTGATGAACTTGCAACAATTCAGCAAAGTTCGAGTTCGAAGCACCCAAAAAATAATAAGAAATAAAGAAAAATAAATACACAGACCACACAGACAAGCAATCGCAACAACGATGATGACGAACTTGGTTACGCTTTGGCGAACCGTCGCATTCTTGGGCGGGTTGTTAACCTCATGTCAGTGCTGGCAAGTGCTTGGGTTGTGAAATGGTGTGGTGTGGTGTGGAGTGTTGGAAAAATGCGATCAGATCGGAGCTGTCCGCCTAACGGTTGCCATCAAATTAAACGACATTAGGCAGAGACATGGGAAACGGGCCAACACAATATTTGTATTACCCACATATTTGTCATTTTCTGTTGAATGGCAAATGGCTCTATGACCCCCTTACATACTAGGTAGTTCTAATTGCGGTCTACAAGTATTTTGTGTGCTGCGAACCGCTTGTGAGCTTGAGAAAAGCGAAAATAAATTATCTTGGGGCCCTGGATGAAGCAGGCTCTTTCTAATTATAGCCTAAAATTTGGCATTCCATTATTGTTCTCCATCTTCATTTGATCTAAATCAGTAAAGTAATTAGCGTAACAACTCGCAAGTTGGCTTTCAATTTATTCAGATAACTTACACACTAATTGGGAATACCTTCCATAACTTCCATTTCGAGGTACTCAAAAAAATGTCAGATATAAAAGTTGTAAGCTTGTTTTTTCTTTTTGCTTCAAGACTTATCCACTACAATGTGATGTATTCGTGAATCAAGTACTCTTCCCAATGTCTTCGCCATGGTCAAAATCTACAACTCGTTGTATGCCAAATAATTCGTGATTGTCCGTCCGTCCTGCTGTCTATCGTGGTTGTTGCTGCTGTTGGCTGTCCGGCGTTCCATTTGACAGTTTAGTGCAATTTGTTTGCATTTTGTGTGATTTGCTGATTTCTTGCGATTTGATTTGTTAATGGCTTCAATATTAAGTTACAATTATCGTATGACAGCAGCAATAGCAACAACAACAACAACAACACAACGAGCATGATGATGGCCATGACAGTGGCCACATTTCACTTTCAACAACAACAACAACACAAGCACCAGCAACAAGCCACTGTTTGACTGCGACTGCAACATCAATGAGAAATCGTGATGAAATTGATTTGCGGCTTTTTATATTTTCACAATCATAGACAGCATTTACTCGTCGTACCTTTCCTCAGCCTTTCCACCCTGCCTGCTGCTCACCGATCGACAACAGCTGCATAATTTTCTCGCTTTCCAGCTATTTGCATTCGCAGCAATAAGCAGCAACAGTTATTTGTCCATGTCTGTTTCTTGTCTCTTTGATATGTAACCCCTTCCACTCCATTCCCCCTTTGAGACTCTTCATCCAGCATCTATCTACATTTACTTTTTAACACGAATCTCATTCGCTGTCTTCTTTTTTGGCATTTGGTTGTCTAATTGAGCGAGAAATTGCCGTTGATTGATTGTTTTGCATGCAATTTGTTATCGCTTTGTTTGCTTTGTCCACCTCTACGTCTACGTCTGCGTCTGCATCTGCGCTCCGCCTCGCTTTGCACGCTCATTCGCCATGCACTGCTAAAGTGTTTTTGTAACAAAAGCTCTCTAGAATGCATTTACACCTCTGCAACAAAGAAATGTTGCTCGCAACATTGTTGCCAGGCACGCATATCACATGTTGGCGCCTTCCCCAGCTACACACAAGGAGGGCAGCAGGAAGAGGACGACTCAGTCGCGCACATATTTTGTTGTTGCATATTTCCACCATTTGGCAACGATCGCAAATGCAGATGCTGGCTGTAAACTGTAAACTCTGGTCTCTTCTTGTTTACGAATGGAATTGTCATGTTAATGGTAATTTGCAGCTAATGGGTTCTGCGCTATTGCAGATGTTAATTAGCAGCATGGAATACTTCAGTGTGGCGTATGTACGAGTGTGTATGTATGCATATATGTATATACTATATAGTAAGTATTATGCCTTGTTGCAAAATAGTTGTGCTTTCTATGTCGCACCGCGGAATTAATTCACACTTTCTTTATAATCATAGGTACAATGCACACGGTGTTATAATTTTTGGGGCATCTTAGTCCGTCGGTGTTACGTAGTGCTTATGAAAGGACGAAAACAGTAAATCCAAGCGAATCACAGTTCGTATCTGGTTCTGGAATCTTTTGATTCGGTAAAAAGTTGTGTTTGGGTTTTTAATTAGCTCGGTTTCATATATTTCGCCATATCTGTACTAGGAAATCTACATACTATATTGTGATATTCGTTTAAGATTTAGTTCGGGGTCTTTTTGATCTTATTTGTTTCCCCTAATTCTCGTGAGACAATTGAGTGACTACTTTTGGAGTTTAACTTGGAGTCTTGGAGAACAATCTACATATGATCTTACCAAATATCTCGAATTCAAAGTCGCAAGTTAAATATGGTTTTAAGAGTTTAGGCGTTTTAATTCACTCTAAGTTTATTATTATCTGCTTATTATTATCTGTAGCTTTGAATACTTCATGATCGCAAACGTATATTATTCTAAGATCTGTGCATATCAGAGATGGTACGTTCTATAATCTATCCATCACTACTACTTCACACATCCCTAAGACAAAAATGTAAATCACTGTGAAAACTTTTGCAGTCTAAGCATTCGTATACTTGTATGGTTTACATGCGGGGTGTTCTGACAATAGCTTACGTAGCTGACTTCGAACTATATTATTAATAGAAGTTTCATTAAGAACTAAGTAGTTATGTCAGTTAGACTAAGACTAGACTCAGTTAGACCTAAGGTCAATTGGTTTTAGATAGACAAAATACTGCAAAATACTTCTAGTTAAAAATAAACCTTTCTCGGCTTGGAGAAACTCTTTCGAATTTATTTATCTATAGTCTGAAGGGCCGTTTGTCGTATTACTCCTTCCCTAGTAGTGTCTTTGGATTGGCACAACAACTCCAGTCCAGAGCTGCTTTGCATTTGCTGGAGTATGCCCGTTTGTTTGCTCCCCAAAATGGGGTCGAGTCAGTCAGTTTGTTTCCTCAATTGAATATTACAAAGATTGAGGGGCCACGTGAAATGGGCGCCCATTGGCATTGCGTTGTCTGTTGTTGTTGCTGCTGCTGCAGTTGTTGTAGTTGTTGTAGTTGTTGTGGTTGCTGCTGTGGTTGTCCATTTGCGAGTCGCGTTGAGTAAAATATGTACGAGTATATGGCGGCGCGACTAAATCGAAACTTATTAATTTTCAAACGAGTTCGCGTCCATTGACTTGGTTGCTCTTGCTGGAAAAGGCCGCAAATCGAAGGCCCCGCGGCGGTGCAGCGCCAATCTCTGGTCGGCCATTTATCAATTCATGAGCTGCGGCTGCAGTAGCGATGGCAACAACAACAACTACAACAACAACAACAACGTCGACCGCGACACCCAGCAAAGTTCAGGCAATGCCATAAACATTAAACGTTCACACCGAATTGGCAAATGGAAGTGTGAAAAAGGAAGAGGAGGGAAGAGAGGAGGGATGGGAGGGAGCGAATGGCTGGCTATGGTGCGGACGCATGGTGAACCGTGGATGGACAGTGGATGGGCAGCGCATTAGGCGTGCAGGTGTCCAGTTAATTGACAGCTAACGAGCGCTGCGGCGGCTCAGGCACAGGCACATCAATATTTGATGAAGTGCCTGCCCGTTTTTGGCCAAAACGATTCAGATAGGTGTGTGGGTTGGTTGTGGTTGTGTGGGTGTTGAAAGAGGGCTGGTGGTGCCGGTGGTGGTGGTGGTGGTGGTATGTGCCTTTATTACGGTTTATTGACAATGCTATTTCAAAAACTTTGCGGCAGCCTCAGATGCCGGGCATCGCACAACGGACAATAGGCCAGCGGTTGATGGGCTCCACTATTATGATTATTATGATAGGAGGGACAGGGGTTACAGCTAAAGGGAAACATCGGCTCCTGGGCACTGCAATACGAGGCGGCACTAGAGGAGGAGTTCGTGTCGTGCAGAGCATCGACGTTAAACTTCTCCTTGACATACAGTAACAATGGATCGACATAGCCGGGTGTATCGAATATCCGATGGGGTCGCATATTTGCACACCTATGTGAGGCTTTCGGTATCGTGGGCAGTATGGAGTGGCAGCTGCCGTGGCAGCTACATATGCACGTCATCCTTTCGTATTTCTTCTCCAGGCGCGCCATGTCGGGCACCTCAGCCGATAACTGCAGGAGTCCGTTTACGGGCACATGCACACCCAGCGACGAGTAGTTCTTGGGCAGGGACTCAAATTTCCGTAAATAGTGCGTGCTGTCGCATTCACTCGCGTCATTCTCATCGTCCGCGTCAGCCGCGTCTGTGGGCGTCTTAGCCTCCTCCTCCTCTACAGCTGCCTTCAACTGCAACTCATTGTTTTCTGACTCCGACTCGGACGTGCACGGCAGCAGGTTTCTACACGTGCCCGTCTTTAGCAGCGTTTGTGCTAGAGTCCGAGTCTTCGGCGGCTTCTTATCCGTCTTTGGCGGCATGAGCTGGCCGCGCTGCTTCTTATGTCCTGGCATTGGCCCACCATCTTCATCGGCACTACAGCCGCTGAGCACTGAGCGCAAGGGCTTCAACACACTGTTGTTGCCACCCTCGATGCGTGCTTCGTCCATGACGCACATGGGAGATGGGAAGCGGGAGCAGCCACGTCGTATCTTATTCATCTGCAACTTCTCCTCCAGTTCGTGCTGCGCATTGGCCAATATGCGCCAGATGGACACGCCGCCTGGTCCACCACAGCGCTCGTTATGCTTGCGCTGCTCCTCGTACATCAGCCAGCGCAGCTCGGAGATATCCTGCCATCGCTTGAACTGCAGGCGTCGCTCCTCCTCCGCATTCTCGCTCAATTGGACCTCGTGCAAGCGCCGCTCCAACTCCTCGGCGGGCAGGCGTTCCACCTCGGAGGGGGTCAGTCGCAGTCGGCGGGCCCAGTACAGTGAGCGCCTCATCGCTAGCTCTCGCTGGCGGTCGTAGTCCTCGCTGCACGTACAGCCCACGCAGCGCTGATCCCAGTTTGCGTGCATTGCTGCAGAGTCTTGGTTTATTTTACAACTATACGTAGAATTTTAACGAAATTTTTTTCAAGTCAATTTTTAACATTTATGTGTTCGAACATGACGCCAAAAGTAAACAAATTCTCTTTACCTATGACTAAACCAGATCTTCGAAATAAGCCTTGGGTACACCACTTTTTCAAACAAGTGGTTCGGATTCAATTAATTCCGTTTTCGAATTCAATTTCAGTATTAGTGTGATTTTGAAATCCAATAAGTCAATCTTTTTTATTAATACTTGTATGGATTACCTGTTTCGAATTAGGGAATGGGAGTATAAATACAGACTACGGGTTTTCAATCCTTTCTGAGAAAATCTTTACAAATAAACTTATAACAATAATGTCGGTATATTGGCATTGTTTCTAAGCTGTTTGGGGTTTTTTCAGACACTGTCACCTATTTGTTAAGCTACAGCTCCTATCTAAACGGCCTGCAAGAAGTTTCTATAGGTTCTGTCCATGATTAAGAAAAACATAAATTAAAATATCACATCAAACAGCACCTTCGTTAGAAAGCGACATAGCTAGAGGCCCGAAAGAAAATAGCAGGCGACTCTTTTGAGTAGTTGTTACATTCAACATTATCGATGTTTTGCCGCGATTTATCGGAACACAATCGATGGCACTTAACGATAGATCGACTGTGTGAAACATCGATACTTGAGTAGTTTTTACAGCCCTAGTCGAAAGAGCGTTTAATAGTGCGAAATAGAAGAGGAAAGTAACAGTTGAACGTGCAGTACTTTTGTCGATCTGTGGAATTTACGGGTATATACATTTAGTGTTGGGAAAGGCACTCACCGACAGAACTAATGACATATGTGGCCGGGGGCTTGAGGACGCTGCGCGCAAACGCTCCGCGTAGCACTTCCAGGGCGCAGGGCTCGGCGGTGACCAAAAGCATGCCGGGGGCCACATGCCCCGCATATTTGAGAGCGCGTGTGGCTGCCGTTAGCGGTCCATTCCACCAGCATTGCGCATTGGCGGCCAGGAAATTCTGCAAAGACAAGACCGCAAAAAGGATTGTGAGAAGAGTTGAAGAGTTGGTTGTGGTTGTGGTTGGTTATTTAGTTAGTTGCTTAGTTGGTTAGTTGGCTATTTAGTTGGCAGTTGGTAATCAATTAGAGTGCCTGGCATGACATGGGCTCCTGCTCTATTAATTGGCAAATTGCAATGTTTCCATTTGACAGTCAACGCCAAGTGGCTTAATTAGACAGGCCGTACCGCCCCGTGCCCGCCCGCCCGCCTTCTGCCTACCATCTTGTCTGCTGCTTGTCTGTCAGTTTGAGGCGTAATCCCGACTCGCACACAAAAAACAGACACCAAAACCAGTTGCCAGTTGTTGGTTGCACTCGAACCGCCAATTAGCCAAAGCGGCCACATTCGCTGCATCATGCAGACAAACCGAGCCGACCATTTCACTGTTATTGCTATTGTTGTCGCTATTGTGGCAGTGGCAGAGCAGCCGAAGCCCAATACAAATCGAGAAACAATTTCCTAGTGTCCCACGCGCCACAACACTGGAAGTGTCGACCTCGTCGCTTGGCTCAAAGGACCATTTGGGGGCACGTTTTTGTGGTAAACAGCAACAGCAATGAGAAATATGTAGAAACAAAGAGCTATGAAACGAAGACTCTATATCAGTACAACCGATTCCCCAAAGCTTATACAAATACACATAAACCTGTAATTGCCTAACACAAAAATATAGAACGATCTGATCAAATTAAGCAACCTCATTCGCTATACAAACAGACTTATCAATTTTAATACATTTTAGAACATTATAAGTATATAATTATTAGACATTAGTTTTGCTTGAGATAGCATAGGAAAGCAAAAACCTATTGCAAAATTTCAATTTAGTTAATTCCCCTTAGTAGATAACAAGCAGTGCTTTATAAAAAAAACCAATAAAGATTCAGATTATTTAAAGTCCAAATAAAATTTCTTAATCAAATTTCTAAATCGTTAAAGAATATTGAAATTTATTTAAACATAATGCTTTCAGTTCAAAATACTCCAAATCGAAATCTTTCTCTCCTTTGTCAAAAATACTCGTAATATTCAGTTTATTAATGAAGAAATATTGCGTTCTACAAGTATATTTCAACAACAATATCCCAAGTTATCGGCCAGTTTCTGGTTTTGATTCTGCAGCGCACCCATCTCTCACATTTCGACAAAGCTCATAGTCAAATGCGTTGCCCTTTCCAACACTGCTGGAAAAGTGTTGGGCCGAGAAAATTTAGATATTCTTTTGATTAGTAATCGCATTTAAAGCCTTAAATTTAATTGAAAGTTTCAAAACATGAACACCTCTTCGTTGAAGGTGCTAGAGTGGAAGACGTCGCTTGCCGAACTAGCAGAGTCGGAACCGAATCCAATAAGTGAGTGGCCATCGATGGGGACGAGGCAGCCCTGTGACGCATTTGCGAGGCTGCTTGATCCAAATATTAAGAAGGAGGAGCATAAAGACAACGAAGATGGCAATGCGCCAGTATTTCCCGCCTACTTTTTCTTCACGCAGGAAGAAATTGCATCCGGAGGCGAGTCTTCAAGCTGAGCGTCTCCCTTAACGCGTGCTTTAACAGTTTTTGCTTGCAGTTGGGCTTAAAAGACGGCAGTGGTCAGCCATTCCGGCAGGAAATTCCAAGCCGGATAACTTTCTAGGCTTGGGCACGACGGATCCGGGTCCGGAATGCGAGCGCCGTATTTACGTTTTGGGCCTGCACCGAAGCGTGGTCCAACATCAAGTGTCGGCACACTTTCTTCTGTATGGGAAGATCGAACGAATCTCTGTACGGGCCAGAAAGAGAGCCGATTCGGTCAACTATGCGATGATTCTGTTCCGCAAGAAATTTTCCCAGCAGCTCGCCCTCTTTGCCAATCCACACGAACTGCTTGGGAAGCGTTATTACTGTCGTAAGACTCTATCCCAATCCAATCGGGTTCTCGTACGCGCGCCCCACCAAGAACTGCCCGAGTACGCTATTCACAATTTCTTCTCCCGCTACGGGCCACTTGCTGCCGTGGATATACCTGTGTACGGGGCGGTAAAACTATCCCAAAACCACTGCTTCGTCACCTATGTGAATCAGAATAGTGTGGAGAAACTGATGCGCAATGGGTCGCACTACATAGACGACAATCGCATTGAGGTGGAACGCTACAGGCGTCCTAGTAGTGGCGCTGCCAATAGCAATGCCAGCAGATCCATGGCCCCCAAGGGGGTGGTACCACAACGGAATGCTGTCTTAGCCGCCGATACATCGAGACATAAGAGGCGCACCTACATCTTTGGCAGCCCGTCGAAGCCAGAATGCGGTCTCAAAGTCTACTTCATGAGACACCCGGAGCAGCTGCTCTCAAAGTCCAAGCTCAACGAGCTTAACTACTCGGACTCGCAGCAGGTAAACACGGTCCATCAGCTGCACAGCTCCATTACTCCAAAGCTTGTGTCGGAGTGCGGATCGTTTGCGAATTGGCTGAACTGGTGGTGCTGCCATGGAATACCGTGCGCTAACCGTACCGTCGACAAACTTATTACCAATTTCGCACGCATCCGGGAGAGACGAAAGACAAACGACCCCAGGCTGGCTTTACGTTGCAATAAAGAGCTGAGAGATGGTGATCCTTCAGATAAGCCGAGTGCGCCCAAAAGACGGATGACTGTAACCGGCGAAACGAAGTCGGAAGTAGACTATCGTGCACTTTCCATGTCGGCCATGGGCGCTAACTTCAAGTTTGTGCGTCACAACTACACGGATCGAATCGCTTATGTGGCCAACAACTTTAAATATACTGAGGTACCGATTGACCATGCTTTTGAGTTTACTGCTACCGACTATGCCGAATACTGGGCCTCACTTCCCCCAGCAGACTGGCATAAGATCCAAGATAAATACGAAAATATTTGTTAAACAAATGTAGTACTTTTTCAATTTCCGAATTCCATTAAATTGTGAGGAATCGAAATGGTCAATGTTTTCAAATTGAGCAACTGTGCAATTTGGCTTAAAACATGTTCACAATAAGTGAAATGCTCCATCCAAGAAAAATCGGAAAATATTTGTTAAACAAATGTAGTCCTTTTTCAATTTCCGAATTCCATGAAATTGTGAGGAATCGAAATGGTCAATGTTTTCAAATTGAGCAACTGTGCAATTTGGCTTAAAACATGTTGATTAGAAGATAAGTGAAATGCTCCATCCAAGAAAAATCGGAAAATATTTGTTAAACAAATGTAGTCCTTTTTCAATTTCCGAATTCCATGAAATTGTGAGGAATCGAAATGGTCAATGTTTTCAAATTGAGCAACTGTGCAATTTGGCTTAAAACATGTTCACAATAAGTGAAATGCTCCATCCAAGAAAAATCGGAAAATATTTGTTAAACAAATGTAGTCCTTTTTCAATTTCCGAATTCCATGAAATTGTGAGGAATCGAAATGGTCAATGTTTTCAAATTGAGCAACTGTGCAATTTGGCTTAAAACATGTTGATTAGAAGATAAGTGAAATGCTCCATCCAAGAAAAATCGGAAAATATTTGTTAAACAAATGTAGTCCTTTTTCAATTTCCGAATTCCATGAAATTGTGAGGAATCGAAATGGTCAATGTTTTCAAATTGAGCAACTGTGCAATTTGGCTTAAAACATGTTGATTAGAAGATAAGTGAAATGCTCCATCCAAGAAAAATCGGAAAATATTTGTTAAACAAATGTAGTCCTTTTGCAATTCCCGAATTCCATGAAATTGTGAGGAATCGAAATGGTCAATGTTTTTAAATTGAGCAACTGTGCAATTTGGTTTAAAACATGTTCATTAGAAGATAAGTGAAATGCTCCATCCAAGAAAAACACCGCAAACCAAATAACTCAATAGTTTCCAGAAATTAGACACATTGATTTAATCACGATTCCACATAATTAAGTCGCATTTAGAAAATGTTTACAATTTTTTAATTCACATATATAAACTATTTAAAAGGTAGTACTACCTAATTAGCCCGCGAATTTTTGTTCAGAGTTAGTTCCTTTTACTCTAGGGTATAGTAGTTATTGCTTCTATACCCCAATAAAATATTACTGAAGCCAAACAGAGGCTGGCACCTAGGAGGTACCTCTAGCTAGATATATTTTAACGCTAGAATATTTTAGTAAGCAAGATGGAATGCTTAAGTCGCTATAAAAAAAAAAAAATTAATTTAAAAAATTTAATTAATTTATTTATTTCAATATAATTTCATTTCATTCAATATAATATATACATTTACATCAGTAATGCAGGAAAGAAATAAGTCAAAGCAGCAGCAACAACAACGTCTGCGGTCAGAGCGTCGGCAGAGAATACTAGGTGGGGTGAAAAGTAACATCCTTGGGCGTGAAAGAAATGGTTTAAATTTTTTTTTTTTTCTTAGGTCTGAAAAATAATTTTCCGAAAGGTCTACAAAATACGCCTCTGCAGCGTCGGTGATCTCCTCGCGCGAACTGAATTTTGGAAAGAGATATTAGGTTACTTTTCATCCCACCCAGTATATTTACGACTATAACTTTCTTCATAATTAACCTATCGTAATGAAACTTGGCAAACTGTAGGTATTTCCCAAATCTACGGGAGTTGTGGAAAAAACACAAATTGCGGAGAAGTGGGGGGTATATCAGAAAAAATAAACAAACTTGATCTGCTTAGGGCTCAGGAGAACTTGAATACCAAGTTTGGTTATTCTAGCTCTTTTACTTGCTGAGATCCTTGCGTTCATACAGACAGACAGACAATAATAACAGACCAATAATATATATACTTTGTGTTGTCTGCCACGCCTCCTTCTGTGTGTGTTACATACATTCGCACAAAACAAGTACCATTTGGGTACAGGGTATACAAATTGGCACATACCAGTAGAATTGTTTTGGGCTTACTTTTCATATTTATATTTTAAAAATGACTATGAGAAAATTGTTGCTCATCAGATCGTTGTATGCGTCGCAGATGG